GAAAAATAATAATAATAACAATAATAATAATAATAATAATAATAATAGTAATAATAATAATAATAATAATAATAATAATAACAACAACGTGGTTAGAAAAAGGAAGGAGGTATGTGACGCGGTTGTCTAATTGCAAATTACGCGTCCTTATTTGCTATCGAACTTGAGAAATTACTTGTACAAGACAAATACAGTCTAACCTCTCCTTACGGACACCTCTACAATACGGACACCTCTCTATATATGAACAGTTCGTTTGGCTCTCCTCCAGAAATAGCAAAAATCATACATTCCCTACCATTCCCTGGACACCTCTGTAAAGCGGACACTTGGTTCTTTCCCTTTGGTGTCCGTATTAAAGAGGTTTGACTGTAAGGGTCCCAGGCAGTATTTCAAACGTTTATTCAAACAACGAAAACTGTTATGCTGACAAACCTTTAAAAAACCGAAATCTTGAAGGCCGCTTCAATCTTCCCAAGTTTGTCCATCCATACAATCTTTTGAATGTACTGTGTTATTTATTCTCAATCCTTCTTGTTATATTCTGAGCTGTTATTTTTATGTTTCACTAAGAGCCATATCACTCAGTTTGCTGGCAGTTCTCTATGTTTGATTTTTGATATATTTCATGTCACAGATTCTGAAAGCGATATTCCTTTTAGTTTGTACCAACCGGGTTGAAAGGACCCCCTCAATACGTTAGCCTGTGCCACAGACGTAATTTAACCTCAGTACCACAGGGCCCCCACACAAACCGATGTTATTTTATAGTAAATGTACTGTATTTACCGATTGCCTCACCTAAAGCGATTTATCACTAGGTATGTATACAAATCAATGTTAATAAACGTTGAATTGCCTTATCTGTGGTATATAGTCGTCCTTTTGCCTCAAAAGCGGTTTTAGGAACGGTAAACGGCAAATTCAAAATCCTTCAAAATCGCTCAAAAAACCACTTTTGAGGCGAAAGGACGACAATTTACCACATGTAAGGTAATTCAGCATTTATTTAACATTGATTTATATACATACTTAGCGACATATTGCTATTGGTGAGGCAAACGGTAAATCCATTACATTTACTGTGAAATAACAATCGGTTATGCACGCAGATTGAGTGGGTCCCCTGTGTAACTAATTAACCAGAGTTTTCTTTCGTCTGCGGCGCAGGCTACAAAACGTCTGTCCTCAATTTTCGGTTGGAATTCCATGGTAACAACGCCTACTCTCTTTGGCTATTCACTGTTTTGCGACCGGAGCCAAGATGGCGTCTCGTTTCGAGACATTTTTGCGCGATAAATGAGGCAGTCGTACAAAAAAAATAACAAGAAAGCGACGAACTTTGGCTTGTTGGTGTTCACTGAAGGTAGAAAATTTTTTTCATCCTGAATTTCAAGAACAAAATCGTAAAATGCACTTGACAAATCCCCGAAATGTTTGTAAATTGTAATCAAAGTTCCTACTAAGTGACGTTTTTAATTTGCAAAAAGTTACTCTTTTTCAGTTTTATCCAACTGATTTGGTAAATACTAAAACAACTACCCCCTAAGGGTCTGTGAACAGCGCTAGATATATAACTCGACGCTTCGCGTCTCGGTATTTCTATATCCTTCTGGGGATAGCTGTATAATACTCACGGTTTACCACAACTGATCGTAGTGGTCTTTATTGGATTCACGTCCTTTGGATTTCAACGAGAGAGAAGTAATCTTCTGTAACAAATATCTCCTACGACACACTCACACTTTATAACTAGCAATAGTTGACACTACAGCTGCCCCCGTTCTCTATATTGTCGGTCAATAGTATCCTTGCTCGTTGTGCAGCTCTTTGAAATATACCGATTCATAATGAAGATTTTCACACATATTCCATACAATAGGTCAAAATACAGGAAACGCAACGTTCCATGCACAGTTTCAGTTCGATTTACACAGCTTTGCTAAAAACATTCTCAGTTGCGAAAATAGTTTATTCTAAACCATAAGAAAAGATTTAATTAGAAGTTGAATTTTTCGCTATTTCTCTTTCACTTTTTATATTCAGTTCATTTTATTTGCCGGAAAGTAAGCCTTAAAAATTAAAAGGACGTTTGATCAAATCACGCTCGCGCATTCTAGTCCTATTTTAAACTTTATAGCGGAAGTGCATCTGTGAGCAGGGAATAAGTCAGCACAGAATTTGATTGTCGGCAAATTCTGTAATCGTCCATCGTTCTGCTAGTGTTAAGCTAGCAGTTGTTCACTCGTCTTGCTTGTTTAGGGCTGAGTGTTATTCCGGTCAAAGAGAGAGAAAGAGTGTCTGGCAAGGTTTCCAATCAAAGATTTACGAACTCGTGTCTGGCAAACTCTCCAAGTGTTTATATATACACAGTTATACGCACCTTATAACTTCATCTGCGCTTTTGGTCCATATAACTTTCGAAACAACTGCTCTACAGAATGTCACTGATAACAAGTAACGCAAAAGAGTATCGAAGTATGGCTGCACAGTAAATGTCACAAAATCTACCTAAGCAGTCCCTTCGGGATTTTCTGTCTTTACATCATCCTAACCATTTCGTACTTGCGGGCGCAAACAATACAAACGTCATCATTACCTACCTCGTGGCCCCTCTTCGAGCAAATCGAGATTTTTTCTGGCATACTGACTGTTGACTGTATATTTCAAC